CAGCAGGCCTGTCGCCACACATGCTCACCCCCAGCGCGAGGCTTTCTCTCCCAGGTGTAGCTGCCCCTCAAATGAGCCGACCGGCCACAGCCCTGCCCTGCCTCTAGAGACCCAGCGAGGGGACAGGAAGCCTTAAGTATCACGGGTTGTAAGACTCGCTAAAGTGCTTTGGTTTCTCCAGAAAAACAAAACAAAACAAAACTGATACTACCTGTATCCAAGGTAAGTAACTCTAGTTGCTTTTCCAAACCGCCTGCAGGAGCACTGGGGTTGGGGAGACATTTTAGGAAAATAAAGGAACCTAATACTGTCTGCAATTTTTTTTTCCCAGATCTTAGCGCTGAACCAGCAGGCAGAGGTTGTCCCCCGACTCCCAGGTCCATGGAGGCTGAGCTCAAAGCCTGTGACCATCAAATTCGAAATGAAGGTACCGTTTCCCCTTCAGCTACCTCGCTATTGAAACAGCGCAGACCACTGGACCCTTGTCCCTGCTCTCCTGGTTTATTGTCTTTCCTCTCCTGGCCCATGTCTTGCTAGAGGGAGGGGAGAAAGCCACAGACCGACCCAACAAACTCACTCCCCAATGCATAGCACGTGGCAGCTGTTCCAACCGTGATGTGCAGTGAATGATCACGCACAAGCCATGCTGCACAGCAACGTCCTGAGTTTCCGAATGGCAGCGTCGTCATCAGCACAGTGGGCCGATGTGGGCGGTTGGACAGCAGGATGGAGGATGCCGAGAAGGAGCCCCTCGCGTTCCGAAGGTCGTTCCTGTGCCTGCACAAAGGGATGTGTGAACGCCCGTGTCTGCACACTCGTCGCACACACGGCTCTGTGCTGAGGAGTTGGTGATGCGCAGCACAGGTCTGCATCACCCCCAGCTCCGCTGTTACAGCGGCGTCTCCGGCTCTGAGTAGGGCCACCCTGAAGCAGAATGCGCTGGTGTAGGGGTGGCTGAACCCAGCTTCTGAGAATTTTCTAAACTTTCTTGAGAGGATGAGTTTGAGTTATAAGAACTTCTCCTGGATTGGAAGTATGTTTTGGTTCTAATAACCAAACGATAAGCAGTTTATAACAGGAAAAAAAAACACATTTGGTCAGGGAGATGGCGGAGTGGCACTACTTATGCGTTTTCTCCCACGGACGTCGATGGGTTTGCTGGACGAGGAGAGCCGGCACTGCACAGACAGACTGTCTCCACCCCTGTGCCCTGCCCGCCCATGCTTCAGACCCTGTGCTGGCTCGGTCTGTCCCTGGAGCTGCACCTGGCCCAGAGCGACGTGGGCAGGCGCAGGGACAGGGGGACAGTTTACCAGCACTGGCGGGTCACAAACAGGACTTGCAGTGTGTTCCTACCGGCCTAGTCCCAGGGTTTAGGACATCGACTTTAAAGGGGAGGAAATCTCTCAGTGTGTGCTCAGAGCAGGCCAGTGTCCCAGCAGGTAAGAGCCACCAGTAAATTCACGAATTCTTCTGGTCTCCGTGGGGCAAGAACTCATCTTTAGTCATTTCTCTTAAAATCCTTTTCAGAATAAGGAACTTAAACATTCACTACATCGTTACTGTGGAAGCGCCGGATCAGCGGTGGCTGATGACAGACAACCGCGTGGTGGCCGATGACAGCGCGTGTACAAGCAGGTTAGTCCACTCTGGGCCGCCTGGCCTGCGACCCCAAGGAGCCGGGGTGCTGAGGGGGAGCCAGCGAGAGGGCGGGGGCCCGAGGGAGCCCCAGAGGGTCTTGCACGTAGCAGCACCTGTGAGAAAAGCTGACGGGAACCAGAATTCGTGATCAGCATGAGAATCGAAGCCCAAAGAACAGCTTCTTGCCCAACTGAAGGGAAATCAGAACCGGCAGCTGGCGTACAACGTTGGTACCATTGCCCTGGATGGTGTGGGGCCAGGGCCTCCGTCGGGAACACCTTCTCCAAGCTTGAGGCTGATGGAGGACAACACACTGGGCCAGAGTCCTGCCCGCCGTGGTCCCCGCTGGGCCGTGCGGGCGGTGTTCCAGTCCCAGCCTCTGCCCCTCCCTGCGCCTGTGATCCCCACCTGCTCAGCATGAGCCTCTGACCTGCATTTACCTCTCAAGTGCCCGCGTTCGGAATAGCAATTAGAGATGAAACAGCAGGCGGGTTCTGATGTCAAAGCTGGGAGAGATGAATTCCCCGGACTGGAGGGGAATTCAAGGACAAGACATCAAAGGCGCGGCTCTCAGGTGGGGGCGGCGCCAGGACCGGCAGCCGAGCACACGCTGCGGCGTGAACCACGACATGGATTCGCTCCCAGAAGCAGGGTCTCGCCCTCCTGTTTTTGGATCCGAGTTTCGTTCTGCTGCTGAAGTTTCCACTTCACTCTCAACTATTTGGAGAAGGGGGCAGATTTGAGACAAGGAATTACGGCTTCCATGTGTACATGCTCATTTCACATCCTTTTTCTGGTCCTTTGATTCGTGAATAATGAGGTGGAGACGGGGTCTTCGCCACCCCCTCTGCCTTCTTGGGCTCTGTCACTAAAACCAAAAGGAGCCCTGGGCCTACCTCACACTGGCCACTGAAGGAGACTGACTTCTCCTGTCCCTGAGACGGCTGCAGGACAGCTGGCCAGACCGGCTTCCTCTGTGTGGACCCCGCCAGGTGGAGCCGGAACACGCGTGGCTCAGCGCGAAGCCGCGGGTTCTTCGCGTGGCTCATCAGGACTCGGTACGGTAACGTGTTTGCAGTTTACTTGGGTTTAAAAAGTAAAGAAAACACCAGAGTGGACAACGTCCACACAGTTCTCCTCCTGCACCACGCTGACGGCGTCCTGAGGTCCAGTTCCTGGTGCGGCCTGTGGGGACAGCCAGGCTGACTTGGGACGGTAGCTCCTGGTCTCAGCCAACCCTTCTGCTGCCTCATAAAGGTGCCGCGGGTGGGTGAGATCAGGTCTGGGCAGGCTGAGGCCACGGCCCCGGGAGAGCGTCTACCGAGGAGATGGACAGCTGGGGCCGGTCCCCTAGTTCCGTCCAGGAGAGGCCCTGCGGCCTGTCGCTGGCGGGCTAAGGACATCTGCCCAGCGAGAGACGTTGGGGCCGGGAGATGTGTCAGGGGCAGAACCAAGGCCACTGACTGCTAAGCAAGAGAATTGGTTTCTAACCGAGACCAGAAGACTCACCTTTGGCAACCCCCCGGTTAAAGGCTTCTCATGAAGCAGGACATTTCAAAGCAGCAGCCAGAAGGAAAACTCAACCCTTGGGGTCCACAAGCTTTCATGATGTTGAACAAGCTGGTTCACAAAAGTGCCGAGAGACCAGAGGTGTGACTGAGCCTTGGGTTAGGCCCTGCAGGATGGGGGAAGGCCAAAGAGATGGGGAGAGCCTGCTCCCCAAGGAGACAACATGCCTGGGAAACTGGAGGGAACGGTCCATCCCAGAGAAAACTTTCACCGCACAGAGCTAAGGGCCCTCTGTGTCCTGTCTGGCCAGGACAAGATCGGGCACCGTGACACAAGATTCCGGCTTCTCTGAGTCCCGCTGGGCCGCCCGTGTCTAGAGGTGAATCGAGAAGAATGTGGACGTTCCTTGGGGAACCCTGGCTGAGCAGTTGGTGAGTGGGGAACGTGGAAATGGGCTCGTGAGAGATGCTCTCTTGAGGGTAAAACCTGGGCACCTCCACCAGTGGGCAGGCTGCCCGGGCCAGGAGAGGGCCCCGCCCTGGGAGGCAGGAAGCTGCCCGCTGCTCCACAGCTGGTGTTGATTAGACAGTCGCCGCACCCCTCTGTGCCTCGGGTTTCCATCACTAGAACGGGTATACCACAACCTAAGGGAATGACGGCAGGGTGAACATCTTACTTTGAGAGAGGCTCAGAGTCCCTGGGAGCCAACACCGTGTGTCCATACGCACAGTGCTGTGCCCTGCCGGTGTGGTGACAGGAGCCCTTGCCTCTGGTGCCTGGGCCTTCCCAGGGAGGGAGGCTTTGGGACACGAGAGAACGGGACGTCTTATGCTAAGCAGCACTCGGGACAGCAAACGTGTACCCACATCCCTTCTTGCTCCAAAGCAACACGGGGGGCATCCCTCAGCGCACCCAAGCCCCGGAGGTCGGAACTGGACAGAATCCCTGCTCTAAGCAATTCACAGAATTAGAGAACAAAACCATGGCTCAAGCTGTCAATCCAGAGTCTTTGGAGTAAAAATGAATATGAAAAATGTCTGTAGGGCCTTGAAAACCCTGGTGAGGGAAACTACATGGACGACGTCCCACCCAAAGGACACCTGGGTCACAAAAGCCCCTTTTTCCTTAAAGACATAGCCTTTTGCCTCTCATATCCTCTCCACATCCACCTGCCCCAGGAGTCACCTTCAGACGCTGCCCGCCGACTGTGCCACCTGCCGCTCCAACCTTCTTTGGAAAAACACCAGCCTGTGCCCGAGACGTCTCCGTGCTCTGTTTGAGTGGCCTTACCAGGAGAACCGTGAGAGACAGTGAACATTTATTCATATGCAATACTGATCAGGAAACAGCTCTGCAAACAACCCACTTAGAAACAGCAAGTCAGAAAGGATAAAACACCGAGAGAAAACGAGCCATCAATACGCTTCAAAAATGTGCTCGATTTTCGTTGTTGCTCGCATCTTGACTAGCACCATCTGTACACAGGAAGGTATGAACATAAACGTTTGGAGAACAGTGAAGATTTGCAAGGCACTTAATCGGTCCTTCTGGGTAACGTCCCGTTGCTCCGCTTCAGCTTTCACCAGCAGCCCACGCCACCCCGCCCGCAGTTCTTATGTACAAACAAGTTCCAGTAAGTTCCTCAAAGTGCTTTTTCAGTCTCGCGGGGTTTCTACATCCCTCGGGCTTCTTCGTCTCCTCCTCCCACGGGTGTCCGCACCTCTCCTACAGAAAACAAAACTACTCAACGTCACTGCAGACTTGCCACCAACCTTCTCCTCATTCCGTGTCTCTGAGCGCCGCCTGCACGGGGACTGTGCTGGCTGCGGCCGGCCGGAGGGCGGCGCTCTTCACCGGCGCCGGGAGGTGATGTCGAAGCAGGTGATCATCATGAGGTGGGCCTTGCAGAAGTTCACGCGGCTCTCCAGGCGCTCCGTCACGCACTCGAGCGCTTCCAGGTACTCCAGGGAATCCAGCTCCCACACCTGCTCCAGGTCAACTGCGAAGGAGGAGAAGCCCATGGGAAGGTGGCCTGCATGGCGCCCCCTCCTGCCCACACTCTGCAGCTCTACCGAGGGCCCTCGTTCTGTCGGAGTGTTAGCTCCCTAACGTTTTGTTGAGACTATACTGAGGGATAAGGTGACATTCAAGGTCTACCCACCTCCCCAGCTGTCCCAGGATGTGAGACTCTACCGGCACTGCTAATTATGAAATAAGTCAGTCTCCCAGTGCAGGGGGCAGGGGTCTCACACTGACCGTGTAGCTGCCCCTCTAACAGGCAGAGAAACTCCGTCTCCTGGCATTTCCTGCTCTCGTTCCCATCCTCACTGGTCATTCAGCAAAGATTAGTCACACCCAGTAATAACTATTAATTATCAATAGTTATTGATTTCTATATCAATCATTCCGATTCATTGCACTCGGCAGAGAAGCTGAGTTTTGGGACCCAGCTGCTGTCCCTATGTTCAGACCCGTTTCCTTCAGTTCCTAAGCAGCAGTTATCCAGGGTCATGCCCTCCTGGCCCAGGTCCCAGCCCAGGGAGGACAGCGTTGAAGTCCAAGGCAGGAGACCTGCATCTGACCCCCAGGTGAGCAGCACCTGCCTGGGCTGGCGCACCTTCCTGACAAGTGATCCCAGCTGCTCTGCCTGCCGGGCGGAGCCGCCCAGCGGAACACAGCACAACGAGATAATGCGTGTGACTGTGGTTTGAGAGCTGCACCACGCTCCCGAGACAGAGGGTGGTCATCGAGGGAGGCGACCTGCCCAGGGTTACACGGTCACCGAGGGACCTGGACCCCAGCTGCACCGCCATGCCAGGACCACATCAGGCTCCATGACCGGTCCACCTTGAAAGTGGCACCAGAATTCAGAAGTAAAAATAAAATGGGAGCTAGCACATATGTTTCTATGTCAAAACCCTGCCCCCCACATCCAGGGAACAGTCAGCACGCAGCCGCCCTGAAGGTTTTTGGGGTCGTTTTGTTTTCTGTTCACCTTGAAGAAACAGCCTGTATCTCTCCTCCCCTGTGGCCTTCTCTCGGCTCCGAAGAGCGCGCTGACCCGCCACCAGCAAAGGCGAGCGGGAAGCCGTGCCCCCCGGAGCACCTGCAGCACGGACTGGTCAGCAAAGTGTGACTTTGAAAGATGAAGACAATCTTCCAGCCTGCCTTAGGCATCAACAGCTCCCAAAAAACATTTTAATGGAAACAGTAAAAACGAGGGGCACTGCTGAATGGGCGTCCTGGGGTTTGGAAGTACCTGGGAGTCGTGAGCTGCGGTCAGACTCCGGCTGCTGGCCCATCTGCCCCGTGCGAGCCTCGCGTGAAAACACCCGGGGGCGCACGTCTCTGTCCCGATTTCTAGCAGAGGACCTAACTCGGCTTCCCGCAAGCTGGAGCTCAGGGCCTGTCGACATCTATTTAGTTCAACTCGGAGATCATCATCATAGTAAAACTAATCTAAAAATAATTACCGAGCTCTCATCACGAGCTCAGCCGTGTAACGAGCGCTCGACCAACAATGACATGGACCCCTCACAACCCTGTGAACTAGGCACCGTTTCTGTCTCCCATTTTTCTGTTAAGAAAACCAAGGCTCAGCGAGGTTAAGCGTCTTGCCCAAGGTCCCACAGCTAGTATGTGGGCAAGCCAGCACAAACCGATCTGCATGCCTGTGGTCATGGCCAGCAGCGGTAGGCTGCTGCAGACCAGTACAATGCTACACCTCATTCTTATGGAAGAGAAGCCACTGGAAGACGGGGTCCTAAGTGGCAGGGCCCAGCTGGGAGGCTGACAAAGTCTGTCACTTTCTGCCTCACCCAATCTTCCCTGAACCGAAGCCCTACACTGTGCACCTGCCACCGGCCAGGGGACAGTCATGGGGGCGGAGAGCTAGCCAAGGTCGGACAGGAAAGGAATTCTAATGGCAGTAATCATCTTACTCCACATACTGCCTTCCTGCATTGGGTCCCAAATCAGTGTAATAGTTCAGGACCAGATTTGAGCTTTACTTGGTGGTAAATGGAATGGTTAGGAACAAATAAATAAGAGACAATTGAATCTGTCTTTCAAAGACAGATCTGTTATTAGACAGTTGCTGTCATCTGGGCTTGCTATTAAATGGAAATAACACTGAATGTTATTTTTTTTTTTTCACAGAAATGTTTTCCTTGCTCTCTGGATCCTCTGTGAGGCCTTCTGCCCTATTGAGAGCTCTATCAATTCTTGTCTATTCTGTGCACGGTGCGCGTCTGTGGCCCGGGAGCAGATCTGCAATGCAGCCTTCATGTGTGGGTGATCTTCCAGCACATGCAGGGGAAATCTCATTTGCAGGTGCTCTGGACTGAGACATGCAAGAAATAATCCCGCCAGAGCAGTCGTCGCTGCCCCCGCCAATGCCACTTGCCTCCAGAGAGGGGCTGCGCACTCGGCATGACTGTCTCCGTTTGATGGGCATCGGCGGCCCCTGGATTCAGTCACAGACACGGGCCGTGTCCGCCTCACCCTGCCTGGCTGTTTCACGGGCGACCCTAGTAGCCCCAGTGACGGAAATGAACCATGGGCCTTACATTCGCGGAGCCATTTGTTGGGGTCCAGCATCAGGTACTGTTTGGTCATCTCCAGCTCCTTCATCAGCCACTCGTACTTGGCTCGGACCTCGGAGATTCTCTGCTGACGATGCTCCAGAATCTTCAGTTTCGCATTGAAGCACATGACCTCCTGGCGGGCAGGGGAGGAGGCTACCGTCAGCGCAGATCCAGCCCATGCAGCCTCTCCTGGGGAGGACTGCTCATGGGTAGTCTGTGGGGAGGGACCTGGGAGATCCCCGTGACTTTCAGGCTTGGCAGAGCCAGCTCAGGCAACCCGGTTAAGGGTAGGGCCACCACAGGCACTTCTTAAATTTAGAAGGTAGCTGGTGTTCCCTCCCCCCAGCTTTCCCAGCCTCGGAGCCAGTTAGACGTGGAATTCTCCTAAGTCCTGTGCTGGGTTGGAGCCACGAGTTCCCACCTACACCCGGAGCCCACTGGGCAGTCTCCCTGGGTCTGCGACCCTCCTCTGCCCAGGGAGTGGGGGGGGGGGGGGCGCCGTGTGGGGAGGAGGTGGCTCACCTTGCTGTTGCCCCCTCGTCGCCGCTGCAGCCGCTCCACGTCATCAATTTCATAGACTTTAATCTCAAAGGGTTCCCCGAGGCCCCTCTGGGTGCTGCACAAGGGGCCGTCCACCCAGCGGACCCCGGCGCTGTTGGCGGGTTTCCTCGCAGGAGAGGGGGTGTCGAGGGACAGTGCAGGGATGAGCCTCCGTCTCTGAGAACCTAAAGGGGATTAAGCCCAAAGTTCATCTCTTTGAATTTCCATCTTTTAAACAGATTTTCTTTTGATGCACACGGTGGGTCACACCGGGCACCCGGAGTCTGTGGCAGAGCCGAGACTGCAACGCCCCAACCTGCCACCGCGCACCTCAGAATTCAATCCTCAGGCTCGACCTCCAGTTCCCACCCGTGACACACCGTGCTGAGGTGTGTGTGTAAGTGTGGCAGTGAGATTCAACTATGTTCACTTTAGGTCCTAGTGTTCGGATTGTAGTAACAGGAACCTCGGGGCACTGGGTGGAAAAGGTGAAGGAACCGAGAGGTCCAAATGGGCAATTACAGGATCGTCACAGGATGTCGAGTACGGCAGAGGGACTAGAGTCAGTAATATGGTAAAAACTATGTTCGGTGGCAGGTAGGCACTGAAATCTCGGAGATCACTTCGTACATTCTATAAATGTCTAACCCCTCTGTGGTACACCTGAAACTAGTACAAAACAATACTGAGGTGAACAGCATGAGTATCTTGGATTTTCTGAGAGTTTCTCGTTAGGTTACTGGTCAATCAGTTCCGTGAACGAACTGGTATCACCTAGTTCTTGCGCCATCCACTGAGGCCGTGCCCTCCTGGGTCCTGCAGAGGCACACTGTGAGCCTCGCTTAGGTGGACGGGGAGAGCGGAGGGCAGGGGCCAGCGCTGACTACAGGCCCTGGAGCTTCATGCTGTAAAGGAGTTCTCGAGGGGGAGACAGCGCCCTCATGTTGCCTGGAGGCCACAGGAAGCCAGGTGCCCACAAGCTGCACCATCACCGGGAGAGACTGGCCCCAGGGCTCAGGGCGGGTCCCACACAGACACGATTTCGGCTCTCGGCTCATGGAGGCGCCAGCTTTCTGCAGACCCAGCCTCGGCCAGTAACCACTTCCGGTTGCTGGAAGGTCAGGGGGAAGCAACTCGGCGGGGCAGTCGTGGGGCCCCGTGGACACAGCCTAGACCAGCCAGCTGCCGCCAGTGGGCCAGGAGTTCTCCTTTTCAACCGATCGCAGCCAGCACTCAGTCCAGACAGACAGAGGTCAAGTATGTAAAAGGGATTTCAGCTGATCTCTGTCAACATGGTTTTGCTGCATAAAATGGCCTAGATTTGACCTGAGTAAGTCAATGCTGGTATTTTAATGAAACTTCCAACCAGCCTTTCCCCTGTCCCCCAAAGAGAAGATGAGCCCTCCTCACTCCAACCTTGGCTGCTGACCGATCACAGCCCATCTCTGCCTGCAGCGAGGGGCCTGTGCGTCTGACATCGAGTCTGACCAGTGCCCTGAGCCTGAGACGCTGCTGCCTGTTCAGTGTCGGGAGACGTGGGCACTGAGGCCCCACAGCTCCGCTTGGGGAATACGCACGTCCACTCTGCTCGGAGAGCCCCATCAGCTTCCCCGCCGCCCACTGCCTTCCCTCTGACTCCAGGTATGGACAGGGCATGAAAATCACAAAGCACCAGTGTTGAAGGGAACCACAGCATCAGTGGTGCGACCGTACTGACCAACAAGAGCCAGCTCCACAGTCCCCAACGATGAGGTTGTCCTGCCTGCTGTTGAGTTTTAATTGGAGGGTGAACTCTTCCCAAACTGGCGATGGGACCGGCCCCAGAGCTCCCCTCTAGGCAGAACCGTCAGGCTACAGCGGAGCTGAGAGGTCCCTGTTGCTTAAACGTGTTACCACGTGCGTGGTGATGCTGGTGTGACCAAACCTGTGTGGCCAGCCCGTGAGTACAGCACACACGATGATGTCTGGTCCCTAATACCTGACAGTCAGGGACTCTGACTGGCTTATATCTCCTATTTTACCATTATTTTCGTGTATCCGCTTTCTACTTACATAAAGAGAGTTTGCCTCACACCTCGTGCGGTTCTGCAGTCACACGCTGTCTGGGCTGGGAGCCCAGGGGCCGCTGGCTGTACACCCAGGTTTGGGAAGTGCACTCCGTGATGTTCGCACAATGACAGAGTCACCCATACCTCTGTCATGAAGCAGCACATGGCGACACTAATTCTTACTGCTGCTGCGTGTCTGAGGTAGAACCGATACGGGCTCACATTTTCTTTCTCTCATCACATCCATTAAGATTACCCTCTGGGGCCCAGGCCCCTGTTGCTCAGGCTTGTGCTCCCGTCTCGGCCCTGAGCTCAGCCGTGTTTCCCTGCAGCCTCCCGGGGGCTCGGGACCCTCCCTCCACGTCCATGTCACGCTGCCCTCAGCAACGCTCTTGGGTCCAAGGTTCTGTGTCCACGCCTGAAACTTCCACATCACCAAGCTTTGCAAAGAGGCCGACCACTCGTTAACAACAGAAAATAAATCTCACTGTGGATCCTCTTATGGAAAGGAAGTCACGTTACCACCAACATCCTTTGTGTTAGTCGAATCAGCTCAGCAAGGTGGGCCTCGGAGAGAGCAGGGCCGTTCCCTTCCAACCCCCCACTCTACTTCTTACAGGAGCACATGAGGCCCGGAAGGACCGTTACACCCGGAGGTCAGACTGAAGAGCCGGCCTCCTGCTTCCAGCTCGCGTCTCGCTGCCCCGTGCCGCGGCCGACGGCTCACGGCCAGCTTCCCACCCCCGTGCAACAGGACTCCGCGGGGGAGGGAGCGCGGTGTCTACTGTCCATGCACCGCACAGCACTCTGGGTTATCTTCCTGGCCTTACCTCTCTAGTTCATGTTCACCACTAACCCAGATGCTAAAATTTCCCAAACTCGAAAGCAACTTCTGATCAAGGGCACCTGCCTGCCTGTGTTCTCGGCGGCGCCTAGCCTCTCGCGTCGCCGTGAAACCAGCCGTCCGGCCGGGAATTTCCTCGGAGGAGTTTTATGGCTTCGCTTAGAGAAGCTGCTTTTGATTCATGCTGATCACGTCTGACAGCCAGCATTTCTCTTAATAATAATGATAAATACGCGAGACAAGGTCACCTGAGCCGAAAGGAGCATCTCTCTGCTGCCGGAGCCATTACGGAGCCTGGATCTAGGCGGCGGCTCACCGAGGCCCAGTGCCCTCGCACTCGACACTAAGTCCCCTCTCTGGCGCCGGGCCTGGCGATTTATTTCACACCGGTTCCCTGTAGCAGGTAACCTAACAAGAGACCCTCTGGGGCACCGGAGCAAGGACGCGCAAAGCCCGCTGTCCCCTCTCCAGGCAGTCACCACGCAGGTTCCCTCTTCTGCCCCCCCCCCCCCCCCCCCGCACGAGAGCCACACTAAAAACTGCAAGTCTTGAAAAATGAGTGAAAGAGCTGGCCGGTGTGGCTCTGGTTGAGCGTTGGCACATGCCCAGGTTGTGGGCCCGTCCCCAGTGGGGGCACGCAGGAGGCAGCCAGTCCATGTTCTCTCTCGTCTCTCCAAAACCAATCAAGAAAAACGAATAAAAGATATTGGAAGAACGAGAGGGATGGTAGATTTATATGAAAGCACTCCATGACATTCGAACGCACATGCCAACATCACACAACAATCTGGACTCGGCTGCCCTGACGTGTTGGTGCAGTGTGTGTGTGGGGGTGGGGGGCACACTTCGGGCCCCATGGAGGGTGTGCACAGGTACTGGCTCATGAGTGTGTCTGGGGGAAGGGGGCAGGGGACTAGTGGAGAAAGGGCCTCCTCCTCTGCACTTGCAGTGAGACACAGTGATTCAGCCCATTTCCAGAGAGAAGCTACCAGGGTCTTGGGGGCCACCAGCCCCACAGGGTGGCTGCACTGACCTGACCCCCCGGGAGGCTCTAGGCAGCCGGGGCCTGGTCCATGCGCAGGGAGCCACAGAGGGGCCGGCAGCTTCTTCCCCACAGCTGGGGAGTGTGGGGGTGCACTGCTGGTGGCCCCCATGTCTCACCTACACCAGGGGCATTCACAACCCTAAGGCCTACTGATGCCCAGGCAGTGGGTCTGTTTCCACAGAGAAACCCTCCGTCCCAGCGGAGGCTGAAGGGTGACAGGCTGTGGGGAAGGAGAGACTGTCGATCCTACGGGCCTGGACGCCCCTCACCACCCAGGGGGCAGTACGCAGCGGGGTTCTGGCCTTTACCCTCCCTGCACCCAGTACCTACTTGAATTGGAGCGTTTCTTTGGGGTCTTGAGGCTGCGGCACCTCCCGCCCACGGAGCTGCTGTTCTCGCTCATGGAGTCCTGCGCGGAGGACGCGCTGCCCGTGGCCTCGCTGTCGCGCATCACGCTCTCATAGCCGCTGCTGCCCCCGCTGTGGTAGAACAGGGCCGTCTTGCCCATGGCGGGCGGCAGCTCCCCGCTCAGCACGCTGCTGTTGTCGCTGCCGTGGCCACTGCTGCAGCGGTGAGGCTTTCTGGGGGGGGTGACCTTGCTGTAGGGTGACGGCAGCAGGGGCGCTGCTGGCTTCTCATCGGGGACCCCGGCGCGCTCCTCCTCGCGCCCCGCCCGCGGCTGCAGGGCCCGGGGGCCCGCGCTGCCCTGGAGCAGCTCCGAGATGCGCCCGTTCACCACGCGCAGCGGCAGCTTGGCGGCCAGGCCCGAGCCCCGGCTCCGGCTCAGAGACTGTGTGGACCAGGACATGTGCTTCCCGCTAGGGGCCGGGTTGGCACTCTGGCCCACCGACTGCGGCAGGGACTTGGTGGAGAAGCTGAGCGTCTTGGTGGTGGAGGTGGACAGGCTGCGCGCTTTGGGACTGGCCAGGAGCAGCTTGCTCACGGCAGAGATCTTGGACTGGCTGGCCTTGGGCGAGGCTCCGGCCGACGGCAGGGGGCCTGCGTTGGTGGGCGAGGCCCCAGCACTGCGGCCCAGGCTCCTCCCGGCTCGGGGCAGGGTGCTGTCCTTGCCCGCCAGCAGCCTGGAGCCCACGGAGGACAGGCTCTCCGCCCGCTCCAGCGAGAGGCACTCATAGTGGCTGACGGTGGCCCTGCCCAGAGAGTTGGTCCTGCTGGCCAGCTGCTCCAGCTTGGCACTGAAGAGCTTGCTGCTGCTGCTGCCGGGGTCCTTCGTCTTGCCACTGGGCTCATCTGGGAAGCTGGCCAAGCAGGGCGCAGGCTGGTTCAAGGGGCTGCTGCTGCTGCTGCTGCTGCAGGCACTGTGCTGGGGGCTGGCCCGGTTCTTCTGGTCCAAGCTGGACTTTCGGACAGGGGGCAGAGGGGGGATGCCTTTGGGCCGAGCCAGGACGCAGTGCTTGGGCGAGGCCGCCTTCCTCTCCAGGGTTGCCTTGGAGGACTGGGTGCCCAGAGGGGCGCCGATGCCGTTGGTCTCGGAGGCGCAGTGGTAGAGGAGGCCATCCAGCGCCTCCTGCCGGCTGGCGTTCTGGAAAGCCCTGGGCAGGCTGCTGGACTTCAGGCTTTTGTTGGGGTGCACGGGGCTCTGGGCAGCCACGCTGGGCAGGGCCATCTCACAGCCGTCCACAACCCTCCTGAGGCTGTCGGTCCCGGGCGAGGCAGACACCTCCCCGCTGCTGCTGGTCAGTCTGTCCCCGGGGCTGGCCTTCCTGTCCGGTTCCCGCTCGGCTCTGTCCTCAGGCTTCATAGGGCCTGGGGCAGTGTCATCCCTCATTCCTCCTTCGCTGAGGTAAGCATCCTCTATCTTCACCTCCTCCTCTCGTCTCAGCCACGGGTCCTCAAATGTCCTCTCTCTCCCCGCACTGTTCTCCTCGCTCTCCTGGGACCGGGCTGCTTTGGGGACGGTGGCACTGGCCACCTTGTGCTCCTGGACGTGCCGGGGGCTCATGGCGATGCAGGGGTACACCGTGATGTTGGTTTTCATGGGGATGTACCCTTCACAGCCACTTAGATTGGCCGTGTTGGAGATGGTGACCATGGCCTTGCCCAGCGTGGATATCTTGCAGCCTCTGATGGGGGTGGCTTTGTGGAAAGAGTCCTCCCCCATCTCAGACACGATGAGCACACTGTCGGGCCCCCCCTTGGGCTTCTCTCGGCACACCACGGCCGTGTTCGGGGTGCTGCTGACCAACTTGGAGGCGGGGGCGTCTGCCGCCGCTTCCCCGTGCCCAAAGCACGCGTGGGCCGCGCAGCTGTGGCAGGGCTGCTCGCCGTCGCTGCCCGCGCTCATCTCGCTCAGCCAGGAGCTGATGGAGGACCGCCGGCTGCCCGCCTCCCGGCCCTTCTCGTCCAGGCTCAGCTTCGGGAGGGGCAGGAACTGCGTGATGCTGACCTCGGAGACGGGAGCCCCCCCGGGGCAGCACTCCAGGTCCTCGCTGACGCTGCCGATGATGCTGACGGGCCGGGAGCCCGAGGCCAGGGCCTGCACCGAGCAGTCGCTGTTGAAGCTGATGATGCTGGTGGGGCGGCTGCGGTCCAGGACCCCGCTGATGGTCAGCTCCTCCACCAGCGTGAACACCAGCTCGTCCTCGCCGTTCAGCTCCAGCGGCTGCTGCACCGTCACCATCGTGGTGCTCACGATCTCCTTGGAGTCTGGAGACGGCGCCGCCGGGTGCTCGTCGTCAGCTGGGGTGGCAAGGAACCCTTCGCTCCCAGCAGACACGGATTTCTTCAGAACCCGGGGGCTCATTCCCACCGGAGGGGTACGCACCTCCGGCTGCAGCAGGGACTCGCTGGATACCATGCCAGAGTCCTTGTTCAACGGGGGCTGGGGGGCCGAAGAAGGCAGGACACCCTTCTGGGTGTAGACTTTGCATCGCTGCAAAGGGGAGCTGGCTGGCTTGTACTCTGAGGTCTTGGACAGGCTGGCGATGCCCAGCCGAGGGGAGCCCATGGGCCGGGGCTTGCCTTCCACAAAGCCACAGGAGTTCAGGCTTTCTCGGCTGCTCTGCAGGCTGGGGCTGTGCACGAGCTGGGGTGGACTGTGCTGGCTGCTGCTGCCTGGGATGCTCCTGGGCGAGGCGGGGGCGGGGCCGGGGGGCAGGGTGGCAGCAGGGACAGGCGAGTGGTTTCTGGGCATTCTGGAGGCCGGGGGGCCAGTGCCACCTCGGTCGGGGCTGCCTGGCCCGTTCTCTTCCTTGTCAGACTCACAGAGAGGGCCGGCCCCAGCCTCCTGGCTTAGCGGGGGGCCCTTGCTTGCCTGCTCGGCCCCAAGCTGGGCAGGCAGCTCTTCGAAAGGGAAGTGCGTGGGCCCCTCACTGCCGTCGATGCAGCCCAGCCTCTCCTGCAGCTCCGCGAACGTGCTGCACCTCAGGCAGTCCCCTTCCGGCGTGCTGGCCGCGGCCTCCCCGGCCTCCGCCGGCCGGCTGTCGCCCCTGGGCTTCTGCAGGGCCGGCACGATGGGGACAAAGTCTGGGGGGCCCTCGTTGTCCGTGAGCTCCTTGTCAGACAGCGCCGTGCCGTTGGGCCCAATGTAGATGACCGTGTCGCAGGACTGCTCGCTGCTGGAGGAGTAGTCGGGGTCACTGGACAGGTGAGGGATCGGGAAGTCAGGATCCACGGCAGCCCTGGCGTGGAAGGGTCTCAGCTGCGTGGGCCTGCGCATCCTGCCTTCTTCACAGGAGCTCTCTCCCCCCGAGGAGCTGGACGTGTACTGTGGGTGAGAGGGAACCGTCAACGTGCAGCCTCCCAGAAAGCCCGCCCTGCACAGGTGCCTCATGCAAGGGGGACCCCTGTGTGGCACAGGGCGGACAGACTGCTCATGAAGGGGTGACCAGCCCAGGCCCCGCCGGAGCTCCTAAGGGAGGAGGGGGTCACCAACTTGGCACACTCAAGACCTCTGTGGTACCTTGTACCACGGAATTCTGGTTGGAAAGATTTGTTTTTGATTATTTTTGAAAAGCTATGAAAAGGAGGGGGGAATCCCCACAGGTCACCCGCTGGCCCTGGACGAGGGTGACGCCCAGCGCGACTGTGTGCTCACAGGCCTCGCCCTGCCCGCGCGGTCCTGGCTTGGCCTCTGACCTAGAGAACGAGCCCAGTGGTTTCTAGCGGACCCTCAGCATCAACCAGAAACCACTGGATTAACAGGGCGAAACCAGCAGCCCGAACACACAGTGAGCACGGCAGGAACGTGCTCTTGGGGGCAGCCCGCTGAAGTACACATCCCGACCTACGTCAGACTGGGCAGGCGAGAGACACGTGTCAGTGCCTCCCGCCCCTCCCAGATGTCCCGTCTCGAAGCAGCGGTCCATCTGCGCCAGGCCAGGCGGGCCGGCGCTCCCAGTGGGGGTCCAGGCCGGTGACCCGTGAAAGCGCGAGCTGTGGCGGGGGAGTGACTTGCTTCTGCATCAGCCTGACGGCTTTCCTGCCCCGGGGTCCCTGAGCACCCCCACCCCTGCCGTAGGGGACTGTGGGGACTACCGACTCGACTCTTCCTGACCCAGCTGCCCCACAGCTGCTTCATCCCTGCACCGCCGCGAGCGCCTTACCTTCGTTTTCTTTTTCTTCATCCTCAAGACCCTCGAGGCGATCTGGATGGTGGACAGGGTCTCGGCGTAGCTCCCGGCCGCGGCCGAGATGTGGGCGATCATGGTGGTGCGGCAGTTCACGTTGCCCAGGGACTCGCGCAGCAGCATGGTGAGCTTGCTCTCCCTGCGGACACGGAGCTGCGTGAGCGCCCGCGCTCTGCTTCGGGCTGCTCCTGGGCAGCGGGCCTTCCCATTATTTTTTATGGAAAACTAATCAACATCACATTCCGGCACCTGGCTGTTTGTGGTTGGCAGCTGAGCAAGTCATGCTACCCCCAAGGACAGAATTCATACAGAACACCTCCCTGGCGCCTGTCCTGGCTGCATGGGTATTCCTGTGTGTGCGTGTGACATTGCACATGAGACCTGGGGACAAGCCAGAGGATGGCTGGTGACCGTCAGCATGCTGCTTGCACACAGGCTGTCCCTGCCACAGAGGCGTCCTCAGCGTGGACCTGCATGGACAATCTGTGTGCTTACAGTTCATGCAAAGGTCCTGTTGCCAAGGAATCGCAACCATTGTCTCTTCTCGCTCATGTCTGCGGAGCAGTGACACAGGTCTTCACGTTCCTGGCGGGTGGCGAAACAGACCCAGGCCCAAGCATTCCCTCAGTCAACAGAACAGGAACTTTCTAGCCAAGCCTCCTCGGGGGATGCGGCAGGTGCTGTGGGCGTGGGGCCCGGGAGTTTACAGACTGTTTCCAGCCCCTGGAATATGGGTCTTCAGGAGTGGCTCCTGTTTTCCATCCCCACACTTGCCCCAACATTCTTCCTGCCCTGCTTTTCAAAGGCTCTGCGCACATCACCATCAGCACATGCCCCTCGGCCTGCCAGAGGTCACTCGGCCTCGAGCCTCCCGCAGCCCTGGAGGCGGGGCAGCCTCCTTGCCTCCAATACGCGACGTTCGCGTCAGGTAAGGGGTTTGTCCTCCCACCTGCGTCCCCGCCGGGCTGTCGACCAGCCACCCCTGCACAGCTCCCTGGGGGCACTGTCCAGCTTGGCAAACTCGGTGAGAGACGCAGGCCGCTGTCGGCAGAGATCAGACCTCAGAAATGGGGAAAACATTTCACACGTTGGCCTCCGGGGAGGAAAGACCAACCGATGTAAGAACAATGCTTTTCCCTTCCCATCTGAGACCAATTAAGGTGTCAGTTTGGGGCTGCTGGGCTCACTCTGGCTCAGGTCCAGGGCAATTGAAAAAGATCAGGGTTTCCTTTTAAGCAGAATAGTCAGTGATAAATCAGTGGAAGGAGAGTGGCCGGATGTTTGTCTTCCCCAAATCCACATGTTGAAATCCTACCTCCCATGTGGTGGTGTCAGGAGACAGGGCCTTTGGGAGGTGATTTGGTCATGAGGGTGGAGCCCTCATGAATTGGATTAGTGCCCTTATAAACGGGAGCCCAGAACGCTCCTTCGTTCCTTCCACCACATGAGTTCATGGCAACAGATGGCCATCGTGAACCAAGCGGCGGGTCCTCAGACCCTGAATCTGCCGGTGCCTCGGTCCTGAGCTTCCCAAACTCCAAAACTGGGAGAGAGAAATGCCCATTGGCTGAGCCACTAGCCTGAACTAAGACACAAAGGTAAGGGGGTGGGCGTGCAGGAGGACGATGCCTGGCTGTGAACACTGCACTGTCACAGGTACCCAGGAGGGATGTCGGACACCACGGAGCTGACCACCAGGCGGGGAAGTCCAGTGCCGGTCCTGGCAGACACTTTCGGTGAAGACACTGCGCATGATGAGCCGTGGGTTTGCCATGTGAGAAGTGCAATAGATCCCATTAGGGTTAAGCTGTGATCACACAGTCAGTTCCTACTGCTCGTGGTAGTAGGTTCTGTTCAGTCTTCGCCATCACTGGACCAGTGAATACGGAGCCATTGCTCCTAGGGAAACGCACGGTGGAGGTTCCCAGGGGCCTCTGCTGCATTTTGTCAGTTGATCAATAAATAATCTTGTTTCATATGTGTTTCTGTTTTAAGACGCCTTATTGAATATTTTTTTAAATTTTATTAATTGGTTTTGTTACAGATGTTTCTCATTTTTCCCCATTGACACCCATCCCCAGCTTTGTTGTCCATGTCCATTGGTCATGCATACATGCATGTAAGTTCTGTGGTTTATCTCTTTCCCCACAAACCCCCCCTCTTCTGAGGATTGTCAGTCTGTACCCCACTTCCATGTCTCTGGGACTACCCCATTCCTCAGACTGTTATGTTCATTATATTCCACAGATAAGTGAGATCATGTGATATTTGTCTCTCTCTGCTTGGCTTGTTTCGCTTAGCATAATACTCTCCAGGTCCTTCCATGCCATCTCAAAGGATATGAGATCTTTCTTTCTTACAGCTGCATAGTACTCCATTGTGTACAGCTATTTTATCCACTCTTCCACTGATGGACACTTGGGTTGTTCCAGATCTTAGCTATTGTAAATAGTGCTACTACAAACACGGGGGTACATATATTCTTTCTGATTGGTGTTTCAGGTTTTTTAGGGTATAGTCCTAGAAGTGGGATCACTGGGTCAAATGGTAGTTCAATTTTTAACTTTTTGAGGTAACACCATATTGTTTTCCATAGGGGCTGCACCGGTCTGCATTCCCACCAGCATGTACTAGAGTCCCCTTTTCTCCACACCCTCGCCAGCACTTGTTGTTTGATGATTTGTTGATGGCGGCCATTCTGACAGGTGTGAGGTGATACCTCATTGTTGTTTTAATTTGCATCTCTCTGATGATTAGTGACGTTGAGCATTTCTTCATATGTCTCTTGGCCTGTTTGGAGAGGTGTCTATTTAGTTCCTCTGCCCATTTTTTAATTGGGTTTTTTAGATATTTCTTTTAAAGAATGAAGCACAGGCACTAATTTCTTCATAATAAAACACTAGCTGAGAAGAGCTTAACATGTTCTTGACCCAGGTAACATGACCATACATTTCTGTGGTCGTCAGCGTCACAACAGTACTGTCCACTACACTTTTTAAATTTCATTCAGTCATCATCTGGTGCATCTACAGATATATCCAGCCACTTTTCCACAGCTTCATCATACGCTTTGTTTTTAAATTGTTATTTTTTAATCCTCACCGGAGGATATGTTTTTATTAATTTTAGAGAGAAAGAAAGGGGGGGAGAGAGACATCGATGTGAGAGAGAAACATCAATTGGTTGCCTCCCGCATGTACCCTGACTGGGGATCGAACCCACAACCTTTTTGGTGTGTGCTCCAGCCAACTGACATACCCAGCCAGGGCCCCCATACACTTTAGATGTAACCGTAGCACTTTCCAGACCAGTCTGATGTATAGATCTGGTTGCACCACCCTGCTGACTCATCGACACTGAATCCACGCCGGCAGGTGAACAGAGCCTGGCACGATGTCCTCCGTGAGGCCTGCCCGGCCTTTTTCACTGAGGGTGTCTAGACGGCACTGCAGTTCTCCACTTGGGGGGCCATCTTAAACAGTGAAATCACCAACAAAAAGTTCACAAATGCCAGAAAATGGGGCACTACCACAGACCAGAGGAGGGACACTCGTCTACAAGAAGCAACAGGAATTACGAGGACAGGGCATCGCCTTTCTGTCTCCGCTGGGAACACGCCCATCGGGGGACTACTTTCCGTTCCTGCTCACATCTGGATAATGGGGAAGTGACACAGGTGTTGATTTGGGTTACAAATACATTTTAGCAAGTAGGCGAATTTGCAGTATGAATTCTGCAAATGACAAGACTCGACTGTCCTTTGAAGTTCCTAACGGTAAGTCTTGTTAATTAAGCGCACTCTGCTGAAGGCACAACCCACTTATCTGTCCGTGTGACCCTGTGCAAGTTCTCAGAACATGCCCAGGACAGAAAGGGACGGATGTAATATCGTTAGAGCAAAGTGTTTGCCCTGTGTGATTCCACATGATTCCCCACTATGAGTAATCATAGGACATTTTTTTAAAGTCCACATTGTGGGAAGAAGCCAGGGCATGTGTGTTGCTGGGCAACCAGCATTTTAGCTCTCCCACGGAAAGCCAGAGAAACTGCTAGTAAGACTGTTCACCGGGGCCCGCTAGACTCTCAAACATCTGTGTGGGAGTGGGAAGTGGTGGCGACACAGCTTTGGCTCTCCTCACCTCATCATCATGACCCTCTAACTTCAAGCAAAGACAGCGAAGCTGGGGACAGAGGGTATGGAAGGCTGCAGGCTGCTGGCTTCACTCAGTGTCTTTGGTGGGAAAACACAAACGTTTAAAGAGCCCCTAGGGTGATGGTCAACACCAACTCAGTCCACACCTTTGTATCAAGACTGAGGCCGGAGGAAGAGAACGACTCAGTGCAGAGCTGCTGACCCCCAAACCCCAGGGCCAGACTGAGGGGTTTAGAGACGGGGGTCCTGGCTGCACAGGACGGATTGAGCAGGAGGAAAAGGGGACAGAGCAGAGCTGTTGGGGTCTGCAGAAGGACAGTACCACTCTTTCAAATAGCCATGTCCTATCCAGTCACAGTCTACTTCCCTCTCACTCCGACTGCACACACCTTCTAAAAACGATTTTTGGAAAAATGTCTTGCTTTTTAAAATAAGTTGAACTTCCATTAGACATAGCAAAAGAACACAAAAATAACAAGATAATAATTGAATTGTAATTAATAATACTTTTAAAAGACCATGAGCTCTGGCTGGTGTGGCCCAGTGGACAGAGCATTGCCCCATGTACCAAAAGGTCACGGGTTCAATTCCCAATCAAGGGCACATACCTGGGTTTCAGGTTCCACCCCAGGCCCGTCGGGGTGGGTATGAGAGGCAACCAATCAATGTCTCCCTCACATAGATGCTTCTTTCTCTCTCTCCACCCCCTTCCTCCTTCCTTCCCACTCTCTAAAGATCAATGAAAAAACATCCTTGGGTGAGGATTAACAAAAAAGAAAACAAAACATGAAAGAGCAATCAGTACTCTAGGACAGCTGACAAACTAGGGCTCAAATCTGGCCCACTACCTGTTTTTGTAAATAAAGTTTTATTGGAACACAGCCACACCTGGTTGGTAACATATTGCTCCTGCTTTCACACTACACAACAGAGTCGAGTAGTTGTGCCAGAGCCCATATGGTCCGTAAAGCCACAAATGTTTACTG